TCGATGAGAATTGTGATAAAAAGGAACAAGATATACGCGATACGTTTCAAGTACAATTTCAAGTCTATCAAGATGACTTAACTGAAAAATTGGAAAATATATTTAAATTAGAAAATGCATCAGAACGTATTCGTAATCGTAGTCAACAATTTCTTCTACGACAAGTAACTGAAATTCGAAATGCATGGTGTACATCAACAATTGAAGTAAATGATCGAAAACAAATGGAAGCACTTGTTCGCCATGGAAAAGCTGATTTAAATGTTTTAATTGATAATATTATTAAAAGTGGACGTATGATGACAAAAACTGATGCCATAGCTGAATTTAATACAATGTGGGAGAACAAATTGAAGCATATTAAAAATAATTTTAATTCGACTGAACGATTAAAACAAGCAATCAAATTTGTCTACGGCAATTATAATATATTTGAAAAGAAAATGTTACCGGCACATGATAATATAGTAAGCTCAATACAACTAATCGATGATCTTACCGCTTTCCCTAAAGTAGAGGCAATATCATGTCAACTAGAAACTAATTTTCTTGACAGAATAAACTCCGAACAACAGAATCTATTGCAAAAATTACCACAGAAACAATCTACTGTTACGAAACTGGCTATTGAAAACTTCGCATATATCAACAAACAGATATTACTCAACTTAATTGATTCTATTCAAATTTCTCATGAAGATCGAAGTAAGAAAAAATATCACACTCCCGAATTTCACTTTATTTTACTTCGCATTCTATATACTGCTCTAAGTCTTCACTAAATTCAATTATGCAGTACTCATCACTATAAGAGAGTATAATAGAATGAGAACACTACTGCGCTTTTTCACTTCTTTCGATACGCTATACTTCAACAGATAGTTTTATATTTGTGATATCTTTTCTATAACTGACGATCGTTATTACTATAAACGGGAATGTTCTTCTCGTTCGAAATTCTTTCATTCGATCACTAAAGTTCTACCTACATAGAAATTAACTACGTACGAGCTACAAATGCAGATATATATCACAATATAAGCGGAATACAAATAAATGGGCCATCCGAAATAGACTATTGTTGAGAACTTCTTCAAGTTTATTTCGAATTTGATAACATCGGATCTTCGTGATGAGCTAGTGTAACCAATCGAAAAGAAGCATTCTATTCTACATCGTTATTCTATCTAATGTTATTCTGTTACAGTCAAAATTATGATTTGTGAAATATAATTCTATACTTTTCTCTTTCGTTTAGGTCCATCACAGAACGAGCCTAATACGTCCACCATTGCTAATGAAAAAAGTGGTTTTTTTCATCGAGCAGGACGGATAATTCCTAGTGGTGTTAAAAATATGTTCGCAAGTTCAAATGAGAAAGCAGTGGTTTCATTACGACTACAACTTACACCACCTCCTTCACCTTTAGAAAATGATCTCAAATTCCAAGTACAAAAAGCAATGATCGCTGAAATGAAAACACCGGCAAATAAATCAAATATGTTATATTTACCCAGCATTTTTGGAAATATTCTTAACAGAATTCGAGATACTGTCATTGGAGATGAAGGTAAACATCGACAAGAACATGATGGAAATGCTTGCCATCCAATTGAAATTGATATTATTCAAACGATTGTAGGTCTCATTAATGCTGCTATTGATGAAATTAATCGTGAACTACTTGCTTTTGATTTATCATTATCAAGAACTTTGATTATGATTATACATACTCTGGTGTTATTCTATTTAACAACGTTATATTACAATGAACAGAAGCAGCATTTTCAACAACAGCTCGCCACATTAGATAAAGCATGGCCATCATTATTGAATTACTTTATTAGTATGGTCGTATCTGATGTTTCATGTGATAAAGATGCTGGAGAAATCTTTGCTAATCAAGTTCTTGATGCTGTACAACGTATGTTGACAACAAAAATACAAGAAATCATTACAACAAAAATACAAACACAAAAGGATCTAAGTCGAAAAGAATTACAATTAATTTGTGACGGGAAATTAAGCACAGCCAATGACGAATGGATGTTGAAATATATTGAGCAGCCTACTGACATTATTTTTGAAGAATTTCAATTAAGATGGGATAATGTTCAAAATGATATTGAGGCACAAATAGGAATGGAGAAGAATAAGTTTAAATCTCATATGATTAAATACTTTTCCATCATTCAGTCAATGGAAACGGCTTTGACGGGCGAAGGAAGTGCTGCGAAATTTGTTGATGATCTATTTCAAGCAACAAGTGGAAGTGCAGATCAAAACTTAAAAAATAAAGGACAATGTATGGTGTTAGTATTATATTCTTATTTAAAAAATGTATTAATACAATCGACTACATCGTTTACAGTATATGATCAGACATATGAATTAACTGACAAAGGTGTTCGTTATTTCCAGAAACTATCAAAACCTGATAAAGAACTTATCAATTTATTTGATTTGATGAGTAAATCCGATGATGCAACCAAAACACCATCGAGTGATACTTCTTCCATTCGATTAACATCAATTAAAAACTTTCAAAATTTTCTGAAAAGTATATTGGATATTAAAACGAAAATTGATCAGAAATACGAGGATATTTCAACGGCCTTTGGTTTATATGATAAAGATCAAACTTATATAAGACTTCAGGGTAAAGCAAGAGGCTGTACTGTCAAATGTAAGTTTTTTATACATATTCATAATGTATATATATTCGTTTCGTTGACTTGATTTTAAATTTCTCGTTTGTTGCAGGTCCATGTTGTCAACGTCCTTGCGATGCTGATCATAGTTTAGTCAAATCAAATCCTGGTAAGTTAACATTACAAATGAATTGTGATTGATCTACTATCAATCCTGTCGCGCTGAAATTATTCTTTGTCTGTCGAGAGTCTAAATAAAAATGAGATCAGAATTGAGACATTTAAAACAAATCATGTTCTCTGAAACATTTCTTAATCAATTTTTTGAGTATGTATTAGATCAGTATTGATTGACGTGCAAGTTTATTTACAGAAACTAAACTTCAATATTCATCTCTCTCGACAGTTCTGATGAATTATTTTTCCCTTGATTTTAGCTTTAACCGGTGTACTGACTATATTTGTCCTCGCAATTTTACGTATAAATATCTCTAAAATCTTACCGATTTCAATTAAAATGATATTATGCACCGAATTCTGGCATCTATTGTTCTTTATTTTAATTGTATTTTGCATTTTTCTTCTTGGTAGGTGGTTGAAAATATTCAGTTACGAAACATATCTACAATAATCTATCGATCGCCACACATATGATGTTATTTTTCATCTAAGCGTTTTTAATACTCGATTGTACGATATATGATATTTTGATGATTTTTGTTTTGTAGGTGATGAGGATAATAAACACAGCTGCACGACAGGTCATCAACTTCGAGCATTTGCTGGTATTAAATTTGAAGTTACCAATGAAGCGAGTCTATACCAATGTAATGAAATTAATAACAATGATTTTATTGTTGTCAAAGGTGATCGAAAAAAATGGGCTGAAATGAAACTAGATTATCAAACATGGGATTTTGACGTGACAAATTCAACGGAAGAGTTAGGTAAACTTAAATCAAAATTTTTATATGTTTGGGGAAAAACTGGTCAAACATTTTGTGACAAGTATAACATGACCTATGTTACAAACAATACACCAGGACCTGCACCGGAAGATATGCATTATATTTTATTATTAGATAATTCTGGTTCTATGAAGGGTACTCCATGGGATAATTTGTTGGCTGCTTGTCAAGTTTTAATAAAAGCTCGTGTCGATGGTGGGACAATTGATCATCTTACTGTTATAACATTCAACGAAAAAGCAGACTTGTTTTGTAGTGATCAACCAATGAAAAGTGTAAATATTTCGAAAGTTGCCTGTACAAAAAAAGGGACAGATTTTGAACCGGCATTTAAACTAGTTTATAATGTTCTAGAAAGTTCGAAAGAAAAAAATTCAAGTTTAAAACATGTTATCGTGTTTATGAGCGATGGTGAAGCAGAGTATCCGCAAGCACAATTAAATCTGTTAAAACCAATGCTAGATGATCAAATAAAAGAATTTTGGACTGTCGCTCTTGGTACAAGTCGTATGGAAATATTAGAACAAATCAACTCGAAGATGAAAGGAACATTTAAACAATTAAAAGACTCAAGTGAATTATCAAGCGCATTTGCCGAAATTGCAATTGGATAATATATATATCTAGAAAAATAATATCTTGATTCTATACGAAACATAACAGAACTTTTATTCATGTTATTCTAGAACTTTTTTTATTGACTTCTTTTCTATTTTATGCTCGAGAAACTTAAATATACGTATTGATTGTGTGCTTGTGCTTGAAAACTCGTCTTTATAGAATGCTGGATTGTCAGTTTCATTCGCCGACATATTTTGATCAATTAAAAAAACGATAATGTCGTGTGATAGTGGAAGATGTTGATTACAAGGGTGAGTGTGTGTATGTGTGAGTATTCTTCTCATTTGTTATCTACACCTTCCTACACGCACACTCGAATGCCACCTAGTTTTTCTATTTATTCTAACTCTTGAAGAAAAACGTATTATCAACGAAAAATCATTTCAATGTTGAATAACATAATATATTATTTTGTTCCTTCGCAGTATTTCTGTGTTAATAATTTTATTAGATATTTACACTTTTAATTCTCCTTCTTTTTAATTAAAAAAGGTGTATATTGTTTTGTTATGATGTTTATGCCAATATGATATATAAATAGTTAAAGAATCTAAATAATTGTTATCCATGTTGTTCAGTATCTTGATTAATTGTTAACAATACATAAACATTTTGTTTTAATCGAAATAATACGATAACAAAACAAAAGAAAAAAGACAACTATAATTCAATGATGTTTCATTGATAATCCGATTTAATAACAAATAAAGTCAAAAATTTGACTTACATACAACAAAAGAAAAAGAAAGACGAAATTCATTTAATCAACTGTTGTTTCTCTCGGTTTTTTCGATGAATTTGATTGTCTTTCATGATCATTTGATTGATTACCATCTTCATCACGTTTTCGTTTTTGTCCAAAACCACCACCGCCACCACCACGAGTATTACGTTTACCATGTCCTCCACGTTTACTACCACCAAATCGTTGATGTTTCTTTGTTCGTTCTGCTGCACGTTTTTCATTAGCTTCTTTCCAAAATTGTGTTTCTTCTTCACCTTCAACTATACGACTAGTTACTTCTTTATCACCTATAACAAGTTTGCCTTGTCCAGCGGCTAATACTTTTTCTAAAACATCTTTTGCTGTATTAGCTTCATTTAATCGTACCCATGCCTAAATAATAATCATATAATCTTAATTTTTTTAGTCTCCATTACTAAACAAATATTTTACCTCAGCATCACCTTTATTAAAATCAATCCAAGGTGTTTTTGTAAATGGATTAAATTTTTCTTTAATTAATTCTCTTGTACCGTTAGAAGGCATACCAGCAATATGAATAAGAGCACCAGGTAAATTTTCATTATTTAATTTTTCTAAATGTTCATTTGTTTGTTTTTCTAAATCTTCTTTTCGTTTTTCTTTTCGTATTTCTTTATCATTATTTTTTTTATATTTTTCATTATCACTAGATGCTCTTCCACCATTTGCTGATTCTAAAGCTTTCTTCTTATAATGATCATCTTGTAATGAACTTTCTAATACAGAACCATCTTCATACTTAATTGGTGTTTCTTTCGATTTTTCAATAAATTCACGAGCTTTTTCTTCAGTTGGAAAAACAACAAATGCAGCACCATTAAAATCTTTCGATTTAAATTGTTTTTTCATTTGAACACTTTCTATAGAACCAAATCTATTGATAAATATAATCAAAAAAAAAATGTTTTAGAAAAACAAAAAAACGAAGTCTTACTGTTCAAAAAATACTAATAATTTATCAATGGTAACATCATCTGTTTTTGGAAAACCTTTTACATAAACTGTACGATTACGTAATGCTAATTCAAGTTCAGCTTGACTATTTGGTATTGGACGTTCTGGATTACGACGAATTCTATGTTCTGTTTCATCAATTTGTAAAAGACCCGAAACAGAATTTTTTAATGCACTAGTTATTGTTTTAAAATCCGTTGTTAATGATTGAAGACGTTTAAATGTTGTTAGAACAGATAATGGTATCCAACCTTGATCTTTTGTAACTTCTGTTTTAAGAAATTTATCACGTACCATATTAACATCACCAAGATAATATTCAATTTGACGAATTATTTTTTTATCAAGATCAGGACCTGTCGAAGATGTTGTTTGACTCAAAGTTGTTACAATATTTTCACCATTTTTTCTTCAAAAAAAAAATAGAATATACAATTGTTTAACAAATAGTATATAATACTTACTGATCAGTTTTATCAACTGTTGTAGTTGTAGTAACTGAATGATCGGGATTAACCATTTTATTTGATGTTATTGTTGTAACTACATCACCATCAACTAGAGTTTCTTCTGTTGATGAAACAGTTTTAGCATTTGTTTTTGGTACGACAGTATCAGCCATTTGTCTACGGATTGTTATTAATATTGATAATCTAGAACACAAACAAAAATATTCAGTGGATATTTTTTTTTTTGCAGACGAACAAAACAGAAGATCTCGTTTATGTACGTACACAAGAGAATATTTGTGTACGAAAGAAAAAAAAGACATAAATGTTTTTGAAACCATCATAAAAGCAAGAAAAATATGAAAATGCGCTTCACATTCACACTAGACAAAAGACATGCATATATATACATAAAGTTTCTTCTCCGGCGATTATTTTTTCTTTTGCAAAAAAAAAATACGTCTTAATATTTAAAAATCATTAGAATAAGACAAAACAGACGGACAAATTTTGAAGAAAATTCTACGTTCTATAGAAAAAAAAATGAAATAAATAGTTCGAAAATAGATGTGCGATTAAATACGGTGTATTTCGAACATGTTGATGTGAATATATAATAGAGAGATTAAACTCGATGCTCATTAAAAAGAAAAAGAAAATAAACGTAGACAAATATCACTGTAGGAGAAGAAAACATATAAAAAGAAATACTACAGCACGCAAAAAAGCAAGAAATAAACTGGACGTTATAGTTTTGATTAGAGAAAAAAAACAAAACAAAAAGTACAAGCCAATATCGTTTACTAATCTTGATCATGCCATTCATGTTCAGGTTCACTGTTTAACAGTGATTCACGTGATTGTGGTCGTTCATCAGATACATGACCACCTTCATCAGAAAAAATACCTATTTAAAATCAATGAAATTATTTCATCTAAATAATAACTTTAATTTTTACCTTCATTTTTTGATAATGATGAATGATTATTAGTTTCATTATAGATCTCACTTTCTGATGAAAACATTCCATTTGATTTTCGATTTAAATCTTTATGTTTAGCTCGATGTTTTTCATCATCAAGTACATAATTATCACTGTGTATTTCTTCCACTTCACCTTCTTCGGATGAACTATAACGTTTATGCTAAAAGATAAATAGAAAATAAAAATAGAACAAAAAAATAAACAATCATATGAATTTACTCGATTGAATGTATTTCGTTGTTGATAAGATGGACTTCGATCATTGACTGTAGTTGGTGAAAAATGAAAACTAACACTTCTTGGATATTTACGTGTATCATTAGATTTTTCATTATCATTTTTCTCATCTATTGTTTTCTTATCATTTTCTGATTCATCTATTTGTGGTGTATGTTGATCAAGTGAAGTCGATTTTATTGTACGTAATGATGATGGTGAAGCTGTTTTATTATTATTTAAATTTGGAATACGTCGTCGACGTGGTTTTTCATGTACATCTTCTATATCACTACTGGATGATTTACGTTGAACATATGTAAATATAGTTTGAGGTCGTTCATAATTTGTTGGTGATATCTGTGAACTTGTTGAATGTTGAAGATCAAGTTTAAGGGTTTTAGGATTTAATTGTCGATTATTTTTATTTAATTTGGCATCGATATCCGCTGATATTGATGGAATTGAAGATTGAATTGATGTTTCAGGAATAGTTTCATTTGATGGTATATTGATAGAAGCACGTTTTTGTTCTTGATCGGCAATTTCTGTAAGACTTGGTGGTGTCCATGATGTTGCACTTCCTTTACTATTATTACGACGATGTCCTAGACCTTTTTTTCGTCGTTGCGTAGTTTTAATACTTGTTGTATCTTGAGTATTTAAAACAGTTGCTGCTGATGACACTGTACTTTGATTAGTCGAGACTATATAATGCAATAAAATGAAAGAAATATGTAATGACAGGAAAGAAAAACAACATGTCGTGTGTGCATTTGTAATTTCATCAGTCTTGTGCAATATGTTTGCTTAAGTACTTTTTAATTATACTATGATGTCAGAAATGTGAAATTTAATTTTTGCGTTTTTCTCTCAATTCTTTCTTTATTAATAAGATTTAATAACTTACGTCCATTATTTGTTTTAATGGAATTTGCTTTTTTTGATGATGATTGTGCTAACATTGCAAAAGGATCACTGAGATTAAAACTTGCTGCTTTAATTGATTGTAATGATTTTTTTCGTGCTTCTACTATTGAATTAAGTGTTCGTTTTTTTCCATTATTATTTCCTGTTGATGAATGATGTTGTATATCATGTAAACGTTCTTTTTTCTTTATTTCTTGTTCACGTTTTTGTAATTGCATCATTAACGAAGATAATTCAATATAAAGTGTATTGACTTGTTGAATTTTTGCTTGATAATGTGAACGAATATCAGCAATATGTTGTAATTCTTCTTTACGTTTTTTCATTAATTCATCATTACTCATTTGAAGTGTTGATGATATATCAATTGTTGGTAAACGTGCAAATTGTTCATTGATTTCAATTGACCAAGCACGAGTTAAATCAACATATTCTTGTTCTTGTTCAAATAAAATTATTTCGGGTTCACTAATATTTAAATGTTTTATAATTTGTTGAAATGATGGTCGATTAACAGGTTTTTGATTCCAACACATTGTCATAAGTAATTTAAAACCTTCAGGAGCTGATGATGGTATTGGTAATGTTAAACTACCTTTACCGACACCTAAAAAAATAAAAACTATATTTAGTAAAAAGAACTTTACTTGTAAGAAAATCTTACCCCACATAACTGCGGTTGGATCTATATTATGATATGGTATTTTACATGTTAAAATTTCCCAAAGTACAACACCAAATGACCAAACATCAACTTTATCTGAACAAGGTTCTTGTCTAATAACTTCTGGTGCTATCCACGCTGATGTACCATTGAATGACATAATTTGTCCTTGTTTATTTCCTAATTGTTTACTTGTACCAAAATCCGAAATTTTTAAACTAAAATTTTCAGCAATTAATATATTTGGTGATTTAAGATCACGATGAACCATTCTATTTGCATGTAAATAATTAACACCATTAGAAATTTGTTTTGACCAATCAAGAACTTGTGTTGGTTTTGTATAAGAATCTTTTTCACGACGTCGTTTTAATACATCATATAATGAACCATATGGACAATAGTCCATAACAATATAAAATAATGGTGAAGAAATTGAAATACCTAAAAGGAAAATTTTTCTAAGTATTGAAATATTAAACAAATATATATCAAAACAAACCTCGAAATTTAATAACATTATTATGATTTAATTTTCTTAAATGTTTTATATTTGTTTCATCTTCAGTTTTAACACGTTTACAAGCGACATTTTGACCATTATGTTTACCAAGATAAACAGAACCTTCCATACCAGAACCAATTAATACTAAATCATTCATAATACTATCAATTGGAATTTGCCAACCATCATTTATTTTTTGTAATGTATTATTTGGATCTTTAGTATATTTGATGTTTTCACCAATTTTATTGACTACAGATATAAATGGTCTTAAACAACCAAAAAATGTCTGCATTATTCCATTATCATCAACATTATTTTCAACAGTTTCATATTTTATTTCAACATTAGGTTGTTCATCAGTAGTCGCTGCTGATATTGAAGATCTTCGAAATGCTACTGGTGGATCACGTTCACCTGTTGGTGTTGATGGTGCAGAACAAGTTGTAAATGGATTAACAGATGTTTTAGTTAATGTAGATGGTGCATCATCATCAGACAAATCGACACTTTCCATTGAATCAATTGTCAATGAACTATCAATAGTAATACATTATATAAAAAAAAAATATATGAAAAATAATAACTAACCCAAGATCCATATGTTGTTCATTGAATTGATTATGATCAAGTTCATCAGATGATGAATGAGCATTAATAGTATTTGTATTAGGTAGTGGATTTATAATAATTGTTTCATCAGCTAAATCAGGCGCTGGTGACATATCTGTTGACTATGTTTTTCTATTATGTTTGCTACCCACAGGTAGCTTCGTACAAAAAAAACTACAATTATTTGGCAATATTTTAGTTTTTACACAATTCTTATAATGTTATTTTTTTTTTCTTGGTTCGTTTCCTGTCGACGCACGGCGATGTTATGACAGCAAGTAACTTGCATCCATAGATCACCCGTTTGTTTGTTTGGTTTCTTTTCCTCTAACCAATCAAATTTTATTAAAAAACCTCTCTATCATCGTATTATATTAAATCAATATAAATAGAAAAAAAACTTTAAAACAATTTTAACATTTAAAATTAATTCGATAATATATTTAAAAATTTTTCATGAAAAACTTATATTAGAAACCTCCTTCAAGTTCTGTCTTGGTCATACGAGAAAATATTTTCATGAGTCATTCGGACTTTCTATCGTATGTTTACTAACACGCATTAGTTTTTTTTTATCATCTACGAAAGGTCTAATAATCTTCGTATTTTAGATAAAAGCGCTGCTTGTTAATTTTATTTTTTCAAATCAATAACAACCATGAAACTTTTTCTTGATATCTTTACCGGTGATGAATTATGCAGTGATTCATATCCCATCAAACTTGTTGATGATGTTTATTATGAAGTTGAAGGCAAAGTAAGGACATTTATTTCGAAATAACAATAGAAATATTTTATGAAAAAAAACTAATCTTCTTTTCAGAATATCTCACAAAGTAATGATATCGATGATTCATTAATCGGTGGTAATAAAGCACCTGAAGGTAGTGAAGCAGCTTCTGAAGAAGGTGGTGTTTCATCATCAACAGTAACTGGTATCAATGTTGTTATGACTCACAAATTAGAAGAAACACCATTCGATAAAGCAAGTTTCAAAGATTGGTTGAAAACATATTCAAAAAAACTCAAAGAACATCTTCAAGAAAATGCACCAGATCGTGTACAACCTTTTACAGCTGGTATGACCAAATTGGCCAAAGATATTTTATCAAAATTCGATGAATATCGTTTTTATCTTGGTGAAAGTATGAATATTGATGGTATGGTTGTCCTTCAATATTATCGTGAAGATGGTTTAACACCTATCTTCATCTACTTCAAAGATGGTGTCCGAGAAGAAAAATACGTAAGTTTAATATT